GTATTCTGTGTATATAATTAATTGCAGGCAGGTTTTCTTTGGACGTAAATCTACTAAATAGTGATATATATTTTATTAATTAATGCCGGTTTATATTTGTTAAACCGTTGCTGTATTAACAGTTTAACAATTATATAACTAAACAGATACTGGAACTATCATGTGACAGATTGGGACACGGGGAGGATTCAAAAGTAAGGAAATAGAACCTTGTGGGTAATAGGTATTGCCCTTTCCATAGGAGGGATATAAATATATGAAATCCTTGTTTGCAGTATGTCAGCGTGAGGGTCAGTAATAAAACCCTGCTTCAAGTTCTTCTTTCACAATTATTCCATTCATTTCGTCCCACCTCTACCGTCCCAGTAATGATTGCGTTAAACTCACAAATTAGCCTGGAACATGAGCTCTGTGAGAAAAGGGGCCTCTTGCGGCACACAGCTCATGACTTAAGCTTAATTACCTTATTTTTCTATTTCTTTTAATTTTCTTCACAGGGTTATTTAAGGACCCCGTTTTCTGCAATCTGCGCTTAGCTGCATTACACCATTTGACTTTTTTTTTTTAAATGTCTGAATCCAATCACGAAATTCTAAAGTTAACAGAGATCTACAAAATTTTAATACGGTAACTTGTACAGTTATACGGTAACTTGGACGGTAATACGGTAACTTGGATGGTTATACTGTAACTTGGACGGTAATACGGTAACTTGGACGGTAATATGGTAACTTGTACAGTTATACGGTAACTTGGCCGGTAATATGGTAACTTTAGTTGCTTGTGTTAACACTTTTGATCTCCCTAGTTAAAACCTCATCTTCATTTTTTTAAATTTAATTTTTTGGCAATTTTATTTTAAAAGGATTTAACAAAAATAATCATATTCATAATTCATAATTAGATTAATTAGATAGAGATCCCCAAGAGCCCTTGTTAAACCGTTAGCGAACCCATCTTTCAATAAAGCTAATTTTGGGGTTATGCCATCTAGTCGTTCACCATGGTAACAGTAATCACCTGACTGTATGGATATATATTTTGAACATTTTAAAATACTCTCAGAACTCCTAGATCGTTAGTCCTAGTTTGGAAAAGGTGAAAAGAAACAGTGCTCTCTTTCAGCATGCGCACAAAATTATTATTATTATTTTTTAAAACATTTTTTAATTTAATTTTTTAGAGAACATTTAACATTTGGCCGCTAGGTTATGCAATGCTTTCGGTTTGCTCATCTCGTTGCTGGCAATGAGGTATTGTAACAATTTAACAGGATTCGTGCCCTTGCCGACATCCTCATATCATGGCGCACAGATGCAGTGAAGTTACAGCGGACAGGATCGGATTCTCTTTTTGACAGCAGATCTTCACAATTGTTTACAATTCAGGTGTTGTGTATTGCCAGCAAGCTCTTAGCACACAAAGGGTTAAGATATATTTAGAAAACACAAGATCCGTTGCATTAAATATCATGAATATTACATGAAAATTTCATGCAATCCTTGTCTCCCAATATTTCCAGTGGGAGTACTGAGAACAGACTAATGCAAAATGGCAGAGCAACACAGATGGAAATGAAGGAACACTTCCATTTAATTAACGATTACTCCCAGTTTGCCCCGTTTTGCTGTTGCCTTATAAGCATAATAAGTAAGCAGGTGACTATTTTACGATCTGGGATTGCACAGTTTAAAGGCCGTGTTCTGTAGTGTCGGCTTTGGCTATTATCC